AGTGCCAAGTCCCTGCAGCCCTGCCATGTGTCCCTAGTGGCTGGGCAGACCCGGCACTAAAGTTAGTGCCAGGTTGCATCTGCACATGCATTAATATGCTTTGACTAATCACACCTAAATTTGATGCCCGCATCTACAGGTATCAAATTTAGGTTCAATTAGCCTAATTTTGCCATTTTTAATGTGCATTGAGGGCATGTACGTGTACATGCCACTCATAATGTGCATTAAGTTAGGCTAGTGTGCATTAACACATCTTCTGTAGATGCGCCCAATGTCCTGCTGCTGCAAAGATTGTTTAATATGCTTGAGTGATCCAAGGAAGGGGACTATATCCACCACTACAGAGGAAGGCAAACCACCCCTCTGTCCACACCAGAGAGTAAAATTCCTTCCTGATCCCAAATACGGTGATTGGGGAATCTAATACAGCCACTGAGGAATCTAATACTTATTTTGTTTCTTGCCAAAGGCTTTGTGGTCTCTTTCAGGAGATCAAAAGAAGAACCTGGCAAGACAGAGCCAGAGAGCCTCCTTTGGTATCCTCTCTAAAAGCAATCTTGGATGTGTTTGGGTTGGGCTTGGTTGACCATGCTAATGATGCATGGGGAAGGTGGGCCCAGCAGGTCTCAGAAAGCAGAAGGTCTTGGACCTCCACCCTTGGTCCTCTGCCCAGTACTTGCTACCATAGCCATGCAACCAGGTTCACCCTGACAGCAAGTATGTCTCTTTGTTAGGCTACCATGAGTGATGTGTTGGCGGCATGCCTATGCAGACAAAAATGAAAAACTCCAATCCAAAGACACATGGATATTTCCATCTTACAACTGGGGGTTTTTTTTGCTGAGAAGTGTACACCTGTTTTAGAGCAACAGCTACTGTGCCCATCACAAACATAGTCTGCTTAGGTTAGCAATTATTTTAGCAATATTCTGCAAGTGTTGCCCTTCTGCTTCAACACGGCTGATGTCTGTGAGATATTACCCACTTCCCCTTGGCCTGGTTCAAAAGCATTCAACTTGTTCATGCTCCCAGATGTATGGCCTACTCATTTGGGGTTTAGTGTGCTTGGAGCCAGTGAGCAGTGTAGACATACTCTTGCATGCTTAGGTGATGAATACCCAACTACATAGCATGAGTCTCATCTGAAGAGTAATACCCACATTCATAGATTCATAGATTCATAGATTAAGGGTCGGA